AACAGTTCTTGGAATACCAAATTTTTTTTAAATTGAGGGGGGACTTTGCTCTAAAGTCGAAGGACGATCAACCAGTAGGCACGGGTAAGCCATTTTTTCATATAATAGGTTTCTATAGCACATAACCCAAAAATTTTAAAAAAAAAGTATTTTATAAAGTTGTATTTCCTTTTTGAAAAGTAAAATTAAGGTGTGGTAAAATTGTGGTAACTGGGAATTGTGTTGGCAATAAGTAGTTTTATAAAGTTGTATTTCCTTTTTGTAAAGTAAAATTAAGGTGTGGTAGAATGTGGTAACTGGAGAATTGTGTTTGGCAACAGTTTTTTGTTTTGGTGGGAGGAGCTTAGCCTCTTTCTCTCTCTCCCTCGGACTGACTCGGTCTCCTGTGGCTGGCCTTCAACCTGGCAGGATCTCTGGGCCCTTTCTTCTATCTTTTGGGGCATTATGTGTGCTCCAGGGGTGATTTTTTTATAATTTAAGTTGTGACCCCCCTCCCCAGGGTGACTAAAGTGTGTCAAAACACTGGTTAGCCCAGAGTTATGTAAAGGGAGAGAGAGGACTAAAGTTGTTGAGATATCCCATGTGGGAGAACAGCTATGCAGTGTGTAGATCGTTGTTTTGAAAATGTGGGGCTGTAATTGTATATTCTGTACATATCTATTGAGAATACAGTTATATTTTTATAGTAGTAGTTTACATAACCTGTGAAGAGGGCTGGTGAAAGGGTATCAGAGACACTCAGGATGATCAGCCATGATGTAAGTATTACCCCTAGACAAATAAGACCATTAAGTAAAAGCTACCCCCACACTAGAACATGTAGTGAGAACCTTACTATCAAAGTAATAAGGGACATAACAACGTAACAAACACACACAGCTAATACTACATAGTACAGTGGACCCCCGCTTAACGATCAGCTCCCAATGCGACCAATTATGTAAGTGTATTTATGTAAGTGCGTTTGTACGTGTATGTTTGGGGGTCTGAAATGGACTAATCTACTTCACAATATTCCTTATGGGAACAAATTCAGTCAGTACTGGCACCTGAACATACTTCTGGAATGAAAAAATATTGTTAACCGGGGGTCCACTGTATATAAAATGAAATTCCAAGGACTTTTCTGGGTCATACTAAGTTAATAATCAAAAATAATTCCTCTCTACCAAACTTATTAAAGCCATATAACATGAACTAATAGAATATTCAATTCTCCTGTACATATTCATTATAAACTCACCTAATGACCATATGTTTCCTACATAATTTTCTGCACTGTTATTGCCTTATTAACCTTAAGTTAGTCTTAAGTTTGTCCGAAATGCTCTGCATATAAAGGGGCTTTTGGCGTGTACACCAAATTGTTATACTCCTTTGTACAAACCTGTATTATGCTGAAATAAATTTATTATTATTATTATTATTATTATTATTATTATTATTATTATTATTATTATTATTATTATTATTACAGTGGAACCTCGGTATGGAAATATAAACACAAATGCAGTATAATGTGATCCTTTATTGACAACGTTTCACCCACACAGTGGGCTTTTTCAAGTCACACACGTTGTCAATAAAGGATCACATTATACTGCATTTGTGTTTATATTTCCATTGTGTCGGTATTTTATACCATTTATTTCCATCGAACCTCGGTATACGACCAGCTCCCTCCTCAAACAAAGCTCAGACAAATTGACCTGCCAGCACTTTGCTGTGAATTATTTTGTGTTTTTTCACATTTTTTGGTATTTTTTGTATTATCTGTATAAATAAGTCACTATGGGTCCTATGAAGATTAGTGATAACAGCCAACCAAACAGAAAATTGGTTGGGAAGAACTTGTTGTTAAATTAGACACATGTGCAACTCTTGGGTATCTTTATTGAGGAAACGTTTTGCCACACAGTGGTTTCATCAGTCCATACAAAGAAAACGGGGAAGAACAGGAGTAGTTTGAGGTAGTCCCTCAACCTTGAGTCGATGTGGTCAGTCCATCAATCTTTGTATGGACTGATGAAGCCACTGTGTGGCAAAACGTTTCCTCAATAAAGATACCCAAGAGTTGCACATGTGTCTAATTTAACAACATGTCGGTTCTTTGAACCATTCATCTACACTCCTGGGAAGAACTTGTTCGATACTCAAACTGAGCAGCACAGCACTCGAACAGCCTTCTGGAATGAATTAAGGTCGCATACCAAGGTTCCACTGTAGTACGTATTTACATTATGTGTAAATTATGTACTCAGGATAACCGAACCTGTACTTATGTGTGCCTGTGCCTAAATAAACTTAATTAGAAACAGAGATGTAGTCTGGTGGCCTCTGCACCTGTTTCAGTATAACTAACCTGACTCTTCAGGTCGCTACTCACAATATATATGTCATGCCAAATAGGTAAAACTGGTCAATTAGCAAGAACTCGTTTAAAATTAAAATATATTTTTTCATTAATGCTAAATTTAAAAATTAATAGTTTTGTACCAAAAGAACCTTAGAAAATTTACCTGACCTTATTATAACAAGCACAATTTAATTTAGCCTAATCCAGCTAAATATATTTTAGGTAAGTTTACAATAATTTAATAATAGACAGACACAATGAAATATATTTTTTCATTAGGTTAAGAATGATTTTTGTGAAATCATACATATATATACGTACACATATCCATACTTTTTTTTTTCAACAAGTCGGCCGTCTCCCACCGAGGCAGGGTGACCCAAAAAGAAAGAAAATCCTCAAAGCGAAAATACTTTCATCATCATTCAACACTTTAGAAGCATATATAGATACAATATAAAAAGTGACCTGAAATAATATAATAAACTCCTAACCAAACACTAGGTGCCATCACCACATACCAGGTGCCATCACCACTAACACTAGGTGCCATCACCACATACCAGCTGCCATCACCACTAACACTAGGTGCCATCACCACATACCAGGTGCCATCACCACTAACACTAGGTGCCATCACCACTAACACCAGGTGCCATCACCACTAACACTAGGTGCCATCACCACATACCAGGTGCCATCACCACTAACACTAGGTGCCATCACCACTAACACTAGGTGCCATCACCACATACCAGGTGCCATCACCACTAACACTAGGTGCCATCACCACTAACACTAGGTGCCATCACCACATACCAGCTGCCATCACCACATACCAGCTGCCATCACCACTAACACTAGGTGCCATCACCACATACCAGGTGCCATCACCACTAACACTAGGCACCATCACCACTAACACCAGGTGCCATCACCACTAACACTAGGTGCCATCACCACTAACACTATGTGCCATCACCACTAACATTAGGTGCCATCACCACTAACACCAGGTGCCATCACTAATACCAGGTGCCATCACCACTAATACCAGGTGCCATCACCACTACCACTAGATGTGATCACCACTAACACTAGGTGCCATCACCACTAACACTAGGTGTCATCACCACTAACACTAGGTGCCATTACCACTAACACTAGGTGTCATCACCACTAACACTAGGTGTCATCACCACTAACACTAGGTGTCATCACCACTAACACTAGGTGCCATCACCACTAATGCTCAGTGCCATCACCACTAACACCAGGTGCCATCACCAATAATGCTAGGTGCCATCACCACTAACACTAGGTGCCATCACCACTAACACCAGGTGCCATCACCAATAACACTAAGTGCCATCACCACTAATGCTAGGTGCCATCACCACTAATGCTAGGTGCCATCACCACTAACACTAGGTGCCATCACCACTAACACTAGGTGCCATCACCACTAACACTAGGTGCCATCACCACTAACACCAGGTGCCATCACCAATAACACTAAGTGCCATCACCACTAATGCTAGGTGCCATCACCACTAATGCTAGGTGCCATCACCACTAATGCTAGGTGCCATCACCACTAACACTAGGTGCCATCACCACTAATGCTAGGTGCCATCACCACTAATGCTAGGTGCCATCACCACTAACACTAGGTGCATATCTAACACTTTCAAACAAAACAATGGCTCCTACAACATAGCAGGGCCTCTTGTTAGGTAACTTCATTGTTATCTCACATAGCAACAGATCATTGTATGGAGGAACACTGCAGGACTTCTGGCCCATGCTGGGCAGGTCTTTCTTGAATCGAACCTCTTCTCAGCCACATATCATCCAACCTGTTATTAGTCTAAACGGAAGTCAACTTCAACATTCCTCACCCGAGTTTTCAAGTCACTAGTTAGTTTTAGTTTTCTCTCTCTATTATTCACCCTAGACCCATGGTGTGGGCAGTAGTCAAAAGATTACAGAGGAACATAATGGGTCCTGGGATTGTACTTCAACATTACAGAGGATAATGGGTCCAGGGACTGTACCTCAACATTACAGAGGATCATAATGGGTCCAGGAACTGTATTTCAACATTACAGAGGATAATAATGGGTCCAGGGACTGTACCTCAACATTACAGAGGATAATAATGGGTTCAGAGACTGTACTTCAACATTACAGAGGATAATAATGGGTCCAGGGACTGTACCTCAACATTACAGAGGATAATAATGGGTCCAGAGACTGTACCTCAACATTACAGAGGATAAAAAATGGGTCCAGGGACTGTACCTCAACATTAAAAGAGGATAATAATGGGGTTTAGAGACTGTACTTCAACATTACAGAGGACAATAATGGGTCCAGGGACTGTACCTCAACATTACAGAGGATAATAATGGGTCCAGGGACTGTACCTCAACATTACAGAGGATAATAATGGGTTCAGAGACTGTACCTCAACATTACAGAGATAATAATGGGTCCAGGGACTGACCCTCAACAATTTCAAGGATAATAATGGGTTCAGAGACTGTACTTCAACATTACAGAGGACAATAATGGGTCCAGGGACTGTACCTCAACATTACAGAGGATAATAATGGGTCCAGGGACTGTACCTCAACATTACAGAGGATAATAAAAGGGTCCAGAGACTGTACCTCAACAAATTTCAGAGGATAATAATGGGTCCAGGGACTGTACCTCAACATTAAAAGAGGATAATAATGGGTCCAGAGACTGTACCTCAACATTACAGAGGATAATAATGGGTTCAGAGACTGTACCTCAACATTACAGAGGATAATAATGGGTTCAGAGACTGTACCTCAACATTACAGAGGATAATAATGGGTTCAGATACTGTACCTCAACATTACAGAGGATAATAATGGGTTCAGATACTGTACCTCAACATTACAGAGGATAATAATGGGTTCAGAGACTGGGCTGCAAAGTTTGGATAGCTAAACACATTACAGTGGTAATGAACTACGTATTTACGTGTTTATATTTGGTTACAATTGTAGTTAGTTATTTATGTAGATATGAATTAGGTAACAAAAATATTACAAAATGTAACCTAATACTTTAGCAAGTTTTTTTTTTTTTTTTTTTTCAACAAGTCGGCCATCTCCCACTGAGGCAGGGTATACTTGTAAAATAAGTTTAAGTGGTTATTTGTTATTTACAGTTGGCAAAGTTAGGATATTTTTCCAGAATGGTTGGCAATATGCCACTGTGGATAAATTACTATGACATTTGTTGAACATTTCTGAGTGAGTTGTCTTTCAATTCATTAATTTTCTTGCATTCCAGCACATAATAACACAATGTGAGGCAATTGACCATCTGGCAGTTTACATTTAGTTTGATCTACATATGGTGGTGATGACTTAACCTCCCAGAGATACTGGTAACCCAGCCACACCATCCTATATAGTATACACACATCTCTCTCTCCCCAGGTAGATTTCTTTTAGACTTGATAAAACCCAGCAAGTGGGCAAAATTTTCTCAATAAAGATTCACATTATGCTGCATATGTGTGCGCATGTGAATGTGCGATTGTGTGCATGAGTGTGTACATGTGTATATACTACATACCTGGCACAGTATGTCTGAAGTGTGCCCAGTGGTGGAAGCTTATGTAGACCAGGACTGACGTACTCGTGAACATGCAAACCCATATCACAATTACTCGGTCAAGTTCACCAAAGGCCCAGATTATGAGGGAAAGATCTAGATTTGGGCTGAAAGAAATGAAAATATATTTGTGTGTATGAGCAGAAGCCATAATAAATTATTCTTATAAAAGCAAATACAGTGGACCCCCGGTTAACGATATTTTTTCACTCCATAAGTATGTTCAGGTGCCAGTACTGACCGAATTTATTCCCATAAGGAATATTGTGAAGTAGATCATTCCTTTCAGACCCCCAAACATACAAGTACAAACGCACTTACATAAATACACTTACATAATTGGTCGCATTCGGAGGTAATCGTTATGCGGGGGTCCACTGTACTGCATCACAATACTGTATTAATACTAATAGAAAACATGTATAAATGGTCCTGGAAAGGCCCTTAAAAGGTACACTCATTAATATTTGCTAAAGACAAACTAAGATGATTTTGGTATCAATTTATTTATCAATCATTTCTGCTAACATTTAAGGTAAAATACTCATCAAGGTAGGGTGACCTGGAAATGAAACACTCACCATCACTCACTCTATCACTGTCTTGTCAGAGGCATGTTCAGATGCTTCTCCAAACTGCAAATATTCCTGCCCCTCCTTCAGAATGTAAGCACCGTACTTCCCATCTCCAGGACTCAAGTCTAGCTAACCAGTTTCCCTGAAACCCTTCATCAATGTTATCTTGCTCACACTCAAACAGCACATGAAATCATAAAAACCATTTGCCTCCACTCGCTCCTGTCTAACATACCCTCCCAAACTCATTTACCAACTTTTGCAACTCCTCTTCATAATTTCCCAAAATAACTGTGTCATCTGCAAAAGAGGAACATAAACAACTCCCACTGTACCAGATTCACTATCTCTCAATCTCACCCCTCACCCCAACACCCTAGCATTCACTTCTTTTACAACCCCATCTATAAATAAATTAAACAACCATGGTGACATCACACATCCCTGTCTAGGGCCTACTATTACTGAAAAATAATCTCTCTCTCCTATATACTCTAATCTGTGCCTTGTTGTCCGCATAAAAGTTCTTCACTGCTTGAAGTAACTTATCATTTATTCCATACATTTGTAACGTCTGCCACACTGCTCCCATATCCACCCAATCATAAGCCTTTTCTAAACCCATAAATGCACGTTGGTCATTATGTGCTTCACTGTAAACACTTGGTCTACATATCCATAACCTTCCTAAAGCCTCCTTTGTTCCTTTGCAATCCTATTCTGTCTGATCCACAAGTCTTTCAATAATAACTACCATATATTTTTCCAGGTATTCAACAGGCTTATTCCCTATAATTCTTACACTCTTTTTATCCCCTATTCCCTTATACAAAGGAACTATGCATGCTCTCTGCCAATCCCTAGGTACCTTTCCCCCTTTCATGCATATTCACTAGTCCCCCCGCATCCACGGATGATATGTTCCAAGCCCTACCGTGGATACCCGTATATATATATACGTATATATATATATATACGTACGTATATATATACGTATACGTACGTATATATATATAGTATATATATATACGCATATATATATAACGTATATATATATATAGTATATATATATACTATATTATATTATATATTTTGGTATATATAATGCTATACGTATATATATATACGTATTATAATATATACGTATTTATACGTATATATAATATATATACGTATATATATATATAAAACATGTGTAATATATATATATATATATATATATATATATATATATTATATATATATATATATATAATAAATATATATATTTATAATATATATATATATATATATATATATATATATATATATATATATATATATTTTAAATTATATATATATTATATATATATATAAATATATATATATATATATTATAAAATATATATATATATATGTTAATTTTGCAGTTTAAAAACTGTAGTGTAAAGCACCCTTCCTGGCAGACAATGATGGAGTAAATGATGGTGAAAGTTTTCTTTTTCGTGCCACCCTGCCTTGGTGGGAATCGGCCAGTGTGATAATAAAAAAAATAATAAATATATATATATATATATATATTTTATATATATATATATTATATATATACTATATATATATATATATATATATACAGGGGACCCCCGCATAGCGAACTAATCCGTGCAAGAGGGCTGGTCGTTAGGGCGAAATGTTCGCTATGCGAATTTAAATTTTCCCCATAAGAAATAATGAAATAAAATTAATCCGGGCAAGACACCCAAAAGTAATGAAAAAAAAATTTTTTTTTACCACAAAAAAATGTTAATTTTAGTACACACAAACTGAAAAGGATGCACAATTACATGACACTTACTTTTATTGAAGATCTGGTGATATTGATGGGATGGGAGGAGGGGAGAGCATTATCTTTTTACTGTTTAGAAGGGGAATCCCCTTCCATTTGGACTTGAGTGCAAATCCTTTTCTGGGGTTACTTCCCTTCTTCTTTTAATGCCACTAGGACCAGCTGAGAGTCACTGGACCTCTGTCGCACAACAAATTTTGTCCATAGAGCTCTGTACCTCCCGTTCCTTCAAGACTTTCCTAAAATGGGCCATAACATTGTCATTGAAATAGTCACCAGCACGGCTTTGCAACAGCTGTGTCAGGGTGATTTTCATCCATAAAGGTTTGCAGTTCAACCCACTGTGCACACATTTCCTTAATTTTTGAAGTAGGCACAATGGATTCCAAAATGGCTTTGGTTTTCTCAGGGTTACCCCCCAAACCCCTTAAAAATTTTCTTAATTTCCATACAAATTTCCCTCACCCTTTTTTAACCACAGGGTTGGAAACTAGAAGCTTTTTTGGGCCCCCTTGGTCACTTTTTTTCCAAAAACAGCCCCGAAAAACACTTAATAATACGAAATTTTCCCGAGTGTATCCCTTTGAATTTTAAACCGCGGGGGGCTAGCTGGAAAACAAGGGGAGGGGCCCGGAAAATGTGAGGTGGCTGGGGGCCCCCACTTTGGACGCTCTGGGAAAGAATTTTCCGCTGAGGGGTTTTGTTACAAATGGGGGGAAAAATTTCAGCGAACAAAGCCGTTCCTATGGGGATTTTTCGTTTATCCCAAGGCTTTTCGCAGGGCGGGGGCCCACTGTATAATTTTATGATAATTTTTTATGTATTATATTTATTTTATATATAATATATATTTTATTTTATTATATGTATGAAAATATTATGAAAGAAAATTTAAAATATGTATGTATATATAAAAGTATGTATTTTTAAATATGTAGTATTTTTATATGTATGTATTTATTAATATGTATATATTAATTTATGTATAAATATAAGTATTTATAAAATTTTAAGTATATATATTTATTATGTATTTTATATATTATGTTTTAATATTTGTATGTATATAAATTTTTATATATATATATATATTATAAATAAAAAAAATATATTTATTTATATTTTATAATATTTATATATATATATATATATTTTTAAACAAGTGGGGCCGTCTCCCACCGGGGCGGGGGTGACCACCGAGGCAGGGTGCCCCAAAAAAAAAAGAAAACCCCCAAAAGGAAAAATTTTTCATCATCTTAAAACACTGTCACCACACCCCACACATTTTTCCCTGTTTTTGCAGAGGTGCTCAGAAAAACAACAGTTTAGAAGATATACATATAAAGTTTACACAACATATCCCCCAAACTGCTAATATCCCAAACCCCCCCCTTTAAAGTGCAGGCTTGTACTTCCCATTTCCGGGGCTCAAAGTCCACTTTTAAAAAAATCCCCGGTTTTCCCCTAAAATCCCTTCACAAAAAATTACCCGCTCAAACCCCAACAGTCGTCATGCCCCAAGTATCATTCTTTCTCCTTTTCACTCCATTAACACGCTCATGCACGCTTGCTGGAAGCCCAAGCCCCTGCCCAAAAAACCTCCTTTACCCCCTTTTTAAAAAACCCTTTCGAGGACGACCCCTCCCCCCTTTTCCTTCCCCTATAGATTTTTATGCTTTCCATTCATTCTACTTTAAATCCATTCTCTCAAAAATGCCCCAAACCCCCTAAAAACCCCCCCTTCTCCCTCTGACTAATGCTTTTTTTTAACCCCACCCCTTTTCCCCTTTAATTTCCACACCCCGAATTTTCGCATAATTTTTTCACCACACTTTGGCCCTTAGACGGGGACATCTCCCGCCTCCAACCTCCCCTGCTGGAAATTTCCCCCCAAGCTTCACATCCATAAAAAGAGTTTTTTTTTTTTTGGTATACTATAATTTTCCTTACATTCCCTTCTTTCCCTCCATAGATAACTTTTTTTTGACTCCACTATTACCTCAAGCCCCAACCCCCTTTTTTCCCTCACCCAATTCTATGTTTAAACCCTCATCCTTCATAAATCCATCCCCCGACCCCGTAAAACCCCCAAAGTATTGAAACATTCACTTCTTCCAAAACATACATATATATATTTTATATATATATATGTATTTTAATTTTATGTATATAAAATATATTTTAAAAATGTATTTTTTATAAAGACACACAACACCACACAGTGAACCCCCCGCTTTATGATAAAGTTTCCCACTGTGCCCAAATTATGAAAGTGTTTTTTATGTAAGGAAATTTTTTCGTGTATGTTTGAGGGTCTAAAAATGGAAAATTCTAATTCACAATTTTCCCTTTAGGGGAAAAAATTCTTTTCAGTATGGCCCCTGAAAATTTTTTTGGAATGAAAAAAATATCATAAACTGGGGGCCCACTGTATATATATATTTATAAAATATATATTTAAAAAATTTATTTTATATATATATATATATAATTATATATATATATTAAATATATAATTATATTTTAAACCCCCCCTTTTGGATTTTTTCTTTTTTCTTATTTGTTCTTGTTCTTTTTTTTTTCCTTTTATCTCCAGGGGGGAAATGGAACGGGAATTCTTCCTCCGTAAGCCTTTGCGTTTTTGTAAGAGGCGATTTAAAATCCGGAGAAAAGGGGTTTATAACCTTCCCCTGATAAATTACTAAATTTAAAAAAAAGAAACTTTCGTCTTTCTCTTTGGGCCCCCCTGCCTTGGGGGGATAAATTCCCGGGTTTTTTGAAAAGGGAAGAAGATATATCTATGATAAAATTTAACCCGGTAAAAAAATTTTCCCAAACAGTGGACCCCCGGGGTTTAAAGATATTTTTTTTAAATTTCCCGAAGTAAAGTTCAGGTGCCCAATTGACCCCAATTTTTTTTCCCCTAAGGAAAATTTTTTGAAGTAGATTAGTCCAATTTTTTGACCCCAAAAATACACGTACAAAAAGCACTTTCTTTAAAAACCCTTTCATAATTTGGGGGGCATTGGGAAAGGGGATCGTTAAAACGGGGGGTCCCCCTGTAATTGGAAGCACTTCACAGCTTCTCTTTAAACTCTGAAATGCCCCGCATCACTACTTTTTTCACTTTGGGGGATTAACCCCAAAATTTAAAGGTTTTTTTTTTGGCCGTGGTAAACCGCAAAAAACTTTAAAAAATTGGAAATGAATTGGGATTTCAGCAGTTTACCGTACTGAAAAAAATGCCCTCAACCACTCCCAAAACCCGTAACCCACTGCTTTTAACATTTCTGTCTTAATTTCTTTAACGCAGGTTTATTTAAACCCCCTTCTTTACTCACTGATTCACACACTCCCACAATTAAAAATCTGGGGCTGACTACCCTAAATTGGGGGGGGAAAAGAGGAATGACCAATACAAAAATCACCCCCTTTTATTGGGAAAAAGGTACAAGCCAGATTGCTTACAATGATTTACTGTAGTGTGATGAAATACAAAATTTAAAACCCAGGGTGAAAAAAGGGGGGGGAAATTTTTAAGTTTACCTGGGGGTTTACCTGGAAGGAGTTCCGGGGGGCCCAAACCCCCCCCGGCCCCGGGCTGTGACCCGGCCCCCTGGTGGATCGGGGCCTGATCCAAAACCCGGCTCTAAAATTGAAGTACAGTAAGTATTTGTATAGGGGAAAGGGAAAGGGACAGGAATCTTCACTGAGAAGTAAGTGTGGCAGAGAAGGGAAATTTCCCTTTTTAAAACCCAGAGCAATAAACCCGATGAAAATTTGGAAGATAGACAAAAGGAAAATGAATTGTTTGGTAAGACACATATGCAACAAATTTTGGATCCTTTTTTTCGAAACGTTTTGCCCCCCACATTTGGCTTCCCTTTAGTCGAGTACAGAAACTTTTCCCGTACTCGACTGAAGAAAACCATGTGTAGGCGAAACGTTTTAAAAAAGATTTCCCCAAATTTTTGCATATGGTCTTTTTCTAACAAACCGGGCGGGTTTTTTTAAATTTTAATGTTTTGAAAATAAATTTTTTTGAAAATTTGAAATTTCAGTTTGGGGAAACTAAAAGTCACAGATGTAGACGGCAAGGAGGAAAATAGTAAAAAAAAAAATACTTTTTATTTTGTAAAAAAATTTTAGTAGGGAAATATTTGGGAAAAAGTTCAAGTCAATTTTTTAAAATTTTGAGAATTCTGAAAAAATCTTTAGCAAAATGAATGTGAGAGGGGCAAGATTAAATTCTTCCCCTATCCCCCTCATTTAAATGTCATTCAGGGGAATTAGCAAGAATAATTAATTCCCGGGGTTAAGGAATCAGGGCTCCCCCATTTAATAGAAAAATATTGGGCTGTTATATTTCACTGTGTATACATTTTAAAATTTCTAACCTTCCAGTATGGATGACTTTTCCCCCTAAAATTTTGTTGAAGAAAAAGCCCAAAACCCAAGATAGAACGAAGATGTTAAAATTTTGCTCTCTACATGGTTAACGTCAGTAATTCCCCTTTTAACCCAAGGGTGGAAGGCAAAGTACAAACGACTAGGGAAAATCACCGGGCTTTTTTAACCCGGGTTTAAAGGGGTTATTTTTTGTAGAACATATTTTAAAACCCCCTTTAAAAGGGGCCAAGCAATCCTTTTACATGTGTAGCGTACAAAAGTAGATCTACGTTTTTTTTTCATATTTTTAAAAATTTAACAAAAAAAAAAATAGATCAAAGTTTTTTTCACATTTTTAAAATTTTAAAAAAAAAAAAAAGAAATCTACTTTTTTTACATACTTTCAAATGTTGAAAAAAAAGTACATATGTTTGGGGGTTTAGGGGAATTAAAAGAGTTTTAAATTTTCATACATAAAAAAATATTTTAAAAAATACAAATAGTAATTACACACACACAGGTACTGTGCATATTTTTGCCAGAATGAATATACGTACTACACGAACATGCTTGCAGATGACGCATAATTTTGTGCAATATAAGTGGTAAAGAAAGTTGAAGGTATCTAAAAAAAATTAAATAATGGATTTAAGTTGGATAAATTTAGATTTAGAAAGGACATTGGTAAGTACTGGTTTTCTAACAGAGTTGTGGATGCGTGGAATAACCTTCCCAGTGGGGTGATAGAGGCTAGGACCTTGGGAAGCTTTAAGAAGAGATTGGACAAATATATGAGTGGGAGGGGCTGGGTTTGATTAGTGTCATTGGGTATGTGAATTAATTCTTGGGTATCTTTGGGTAGAGGTCATTTTGATATGGACCTGCCTTGTATGGGCCAGTAGGCCTTCTGCAGTGTTCCTCCATTCTTATGTTCTTATGTTCTTAAATCAAACAGATGGATGATGGAACATAATATGGTTAAATACCACAAAATCTAAATGGTAAAAGGGAAAAAAAGCCACAAGAGAAATAAAAATTATCTGAAGAAACACTGTCAGAAGGCACTTCTGACCCAATGGAAATAAGTCACTTTGGCTTTTTTGGGTTATCCTAGGTAATTTACAATATGTATGCTAATCGTACTTATGTGTACCTGTGCCTAAGTAAACTTACTTACTTATGGTACAGGTCGGCCATCATTAATCCGGCAATCACTTATCTGATTCCATCAGTAATCTAGTAATAATTTCAACTAGCATAATTTCAAATTTCATCATTATACTGACTCAAATTTCATCATTATATTGACTCAAAAATTGTGCAGAAGGTTGTAAATCGACAGTAGCAAGCCAGCAGAGGAGAAAGCAGTGATGAAAATGAGGATGATTTAGCAGAAAAAGTCTCTGTTGATAAGTTAATTAAGTGTACTATTCTAACCTAACCACTCAGTAATCCGGCAAACTCACTAATCCGGCAAACTCACTAATCCGGCAAACTCACTAATCCGGAACACTACAGGTCCCAATGATGCCAGAGTAGTGATGGCCGACCTGTATATAGCAAACAGAAATAATAAGAGTTGGTGTATGGATACAGAATATAATAAACTTACTCCTTGCCTCTGTCGTACGACTGTGTGAGAGCAGAAAAAGACGAGGTTGAACTTCTGACCAGACATCCTGCTACAGGAAGGCTCTCCTCTTCAAATTCTTCCAAGCGCTTTTCCACAATATTACTCAAATCATTCTCCAAGTATTTTTGCAGGTCCTGAAAGTAATTGGTAATTCCTTTTATTAAAACTTAAAGAATATAAGAAAGAACGAACACAGCAATTACTACAAAGTAATTACTAACAGCTACTATCAAAGATGAATAAATGGATTGAGGGGTGTTAATGTTGCAGTTTAGAAACTGTAGTGTAAAGCACCCTTCTGGCAAGACAGTGATGGAGTGAATGATGGTGAAAGTTTTTCTTTTTCGGGCCACCCTGCCTTGGTGGGAATCGGCCAGTGTGTTAATAAATAATAAATAAAAAATTAAAGCAAAAAGAATGAGTTACTGAGTATAGTAAACTAAACTTTAAAAGATAACACTTTAGTACATGACTGAGTACCTTGATCAGCAAGTGGAAATAAGTCACTTTATCTGACTTTTTGAGTTATCCTGGGTAATTTACACATATAAGAGCATAAGAAAGAGGAATACTGCAGCAGGCCTACTGACCCATGCGAGGCAGGTCCAAGTCAACTACCGGCTTATGCCACTGACCCAACCTAGTCAGGTTTAGGTCACATCCACTTAATGAAGGAGCACGATATCAAATCGATTAGCACAAGCTAATCAGGTCCAACTCACACCCACTCATGTATTTATCCAACCTATTTTTAAAGCTACACAACGTTCTGGCCTCTATAACTGTACTCGGGAGTTTGTTCCACTCATCCACAACTCTATTACCAAACCAGTACTTACCTATATCCTTCCTGAATCTGAATTTTTCCAACTTAAAACCGTTGCTGCGAGTCCTGTCTAGGCTAGATATTTTCAGCACACTATTTACATCCCCTTTATTTATTCCTGTCTTCCATTTATACACCTCAATCATATCCCCCCTAATTCTACGTCTTTCTAGAGAGTGCAGATTCAGGGCCCTTAGTCTATCCTCATAGGGAAGGTTTCTGATACATGGGATCAACTTTGTCATCCTCCTCTGTACATTTTCCAGAGAATTTATATCCATTCTGTAATACAGTGACCAAAACTGTGCAGCATAATCTAAATGAGGCCTAACCAAAGACTGCAAAAACAGTATGAAGTTTAATGATGATAAATTTCAATTACTCCGATATGGAAAACGTGAGGAAATTAAAACTTCATAGGAGTATAAAACAAATTCTGGCCACAAAATAGAGCGAAACACCAACGTCAAAGACCTGGGAGTGATCATGTCGGAGGATCTCACCTTCAAGGACCATAACATTGTATCAATCGCAGCTGCTAGAAAAATGACAGGATGGATAATGAGAACCTTCAAAACTAGGGAGGCCAAGCCCATGATGACACTCTTCAGGTCACTTGTTCTATCTAGGCTGGAATATTACTGCACACTAACAGCACCTTTCAAGGCAGGTGAAATTGCTGACCTAGAAAATGTACAGAGAACCTTCACGGCGCGCATAACGGAGATAAAACACCTCAATTACTGGGAGCGCTTGAGGTTCCTGAACTTGTATTCCCTGGAACGCAGGAGGGAGAGATACATGATTATATACACCTGGAAAATCCTAGAGGGACTAGTACCGAACTTGCACACGAAAATCACTCACTACGATGCAACATTAAGAGACCATACAATAAGTGTCAGGGGCCCGAGACTGTTCAACTGCCTCCCAGCATACATAAGGGGGATTACCAATAGATCCCTGGCAGTCTTCAAGCTGGCACTGGACAAGCACCTAGTCAGTACTTGACCAGCTAGGCGGCTGTGGTTCGTACTTTGGACTGGGTGTGGCTAGCAGTAACAGCCTGGTTGATCAGACCCTAGTCCACCATGAGGCTGCTCCATGAGCAGGGAGAAAGAGGACAAGCACCTAAAGTCGGTACCTGACCAGCCGGGCTGTGGCTCGTACGTTGGTTTGCGTGCAGCCAGCAGTAACAGCCTGGTTGATCAGGCTCTGATTCACCAGGAGGCCTGGTCACAGACCGGGCCGCGGGGGCGTTGACCCCCGGAACTCTCTCCAGGTAAACTCCAGGACCTAGTAGTGTTCAGTGAAGAGGCGGGGCCAGGAGCTGAGTCTCGACCCCTGCAACCACAATTAGGTGAGTACACACACACACATGTGGTAATGCCTTATTTACAACTAACAAAATCAGGGTATTTCTCCAGAATGGACTGTAATATACCACTGTGGATAAAATATTCTGACAAATCTTCAACATTTCTGAGTGAGTTGTCTCTAAGATAAGATTTCGTTCGGATTTTTAACCCCGGAGGGTTAGCCACCCAAGATAACCCAAGAAAGTCAGTGCGTCATCGAGGACTGTCTAACTTATTTCCATTGTGGTCCTTAATCTTGTCCCCCAGGATGCCACCCACACCAGTCGACTAACACCCAGGTACCTATTTACTGCTAGGTGAACAGGACAACAGGTGTAAGGAAACGTGTTGAAATGTTTCCACCCGCCGGGAATCGAACCCGGGCCCTCCGTGTGTGAAGCGGGAGCGTTAACCACCAGGCCACCGGGCCATTAATTGAACAATGTCACTTACTTTCAGCTTTTCCCGGAGATATATATTGTGTAGGACCTGCTGCTCCCCATTAGAGTTCAACTTCTTCACCTCACTCACTGTAACATAAAGGAGAATACACAAAGTTAATGTCAGCCCTTTTAATGGTACCTCATACCCATTGTGTGGGTGGTAGTCAAAATATTAGAGGCACATAATGGGTCCAGGGACTGTACCTCAACATTACAAAGAAATATAATGGGTCCAGGGACTGTACCTCAACATTACAAAGGAATATAATGGGTCCAGGGACTGTACCTCAACATTACAAAGGAATATAATGGGTCCAGGGACTGTACCTCAACATTACAGAGGAATATAATGGGTCCAGGGACTGTACCTCAACATTACAAAGGAATATAATGGGTCCAGGGACTGTACCTCAACATTACAAAGGAATATAATGGGTCCAGGGACTGTACCTCAACATTACAAAGGAATATAATGGGTCCAAGGACTGTACCTCAACATTACAAAGGAATATAATGGGTCCAGGGACTGTACCTCAACATTACAGAGGTACATAATGGGTCCCAGGACTGTATCTCAGCATCAACATTGTTATTTATCTATCTATATCACGTACAACTTTCTACAATGACCTTGTACTTCAAATATAACAATGTGGCTTCTGAGGTCAAACATAATCACATCTTATCTCACTGACTGACACCAATACGTAGCCACAAACAATATATCTGACCTTTCTAAATCCAATCAATTTCCTTTGTAATTATACTCTCTTCCCAGTATTCGTACCATATTTCTACTACACTTTACCTAGTTTATTCTAAAGATCAATTCTACTATTATTCGTACTCTCTTATCCAATTTCCAGATAACTGCAGGATATCTGGAAATCTTTGGTTAAGTTTTAATCTTTGATTAGTGATGGTCTATCCTCGTAGGAAAGATTCCTGACGCATGAGGTCCACTTTGTCATCCTTCATCCATTTGTATACATCCATCACCGTATACCTTATATGACCATGTAAGGTCAGTGCTAGAGTACCTCTCACCTCACTGCCTTTACATTCAGGTACACGTGTACTTGACCAATGGTCCTACCTCACCTCTTTTACATTCAGGTACAAGTGTACTTGATTAGATTTTGCCACCGAAGTGGCTAGTTTATTGTGCACCCCATATCCATCCTGTGGACGGTAGCGCGAGAGCATATGGATACACAAAAGGCCTAGGAACTAGGCCCCAAAGGGTTAACAGGAATACATATGGATTTATATCTACATATCTATAGTTCACTTATCTTACTTGGCTAGTGATCCCACCTCACTTTTACATTCAGGTACAAGTGTACTTGACCAGTGATCCCACCTCACTTTTACATTCAGGTACAAGTGTACTTGGCCAGTGATCCCACCTCACTTTTACATTCAGGTACAAGTGTACTTGACCCGTGATCCCACCTCACTTTTACATTCAGGTACAAGTGTACTTGACCAGTGATCCCACCTCACTTTTACATTCAGGTACAAGTGTACTTGACCAGTGATCCCACCTCACTTTTACATTCAGGTACAAGTGTACTTGACCAGTGATCCCACCTCACTTTTACATTCAGGTACAAGTGTACTTGGCCAGTGAATCCCACCTCACTTTTACATTCAGGTACAAGTGTACTTGGCCAGTGATCCACCTCACTTTTACATTCAGGTACAAGTGTACTTGACCAGTGATCCCACCTCACTTTTACATTCAGGTACAAGTGTACTTGGCCGTGATCCCACCTCACTTTTACATTCAGGTACAAGTGTACTTGGCCAGTGATCCCACCTCACTTTTACATTCAGGTACAAGTGTACTTGGCCAGTGATCCCACCTCACTTTTACATTCAGGTACAAGTGTACTTGACCAGTGATCCCACCTCACTTTTACATTCAGGTACAAGTGTACTTGGCCAGTGATCCCACCTCACTTTTACATTCAGGTACAAGTGTATTGGCCAGTGATCCCACCTCACTTTTTACATTCAGGTACAAGTGTACTTGGCCATGATCCCACCTCACTTTTACATTCAGGTACAAGTGTACTTGACCAGTGATCCCACCTCACTTTTACATTCAGGTACAAGTGTACTTGGCCAGTGATCCCACCTCACTTTTACATTCAGGTACAAGTGTACTTGGCCAGTGATCCCACCTCACTTTTACATTCAGGTACAAGTGTACTTGACCAGTGATCCCACCTCACTTTTACATTCAGGTACAAGTGTACTTGGCCAGTGATCCCACCTCACTTTTACATTCAGGTACAAGTGTACTTGGCCAGTGATCCCACCTCACTTTTACATTCAGGTACAAGTGTACTTGGCCAGTGATCCCACCTCACTTTTACATTCAGGTACAAGTGTACTTGACCAGTGATCCACCTCACTTTTACATTCAGGTACAAGTGTACTTGGCCAGTGATCCCACCTCACTTTTACATTCAGGTACAAGTGTACTTGGCCAGTGATCCCCCCTCACTTTTACATTCAGGTACAAGTGTACTTGGCCAGTGATCCCACCTCACTTTTACATTCAGGTACAAGTGTACTTGACCAGTGATCCCACCTCACTTTTACATTCAGGTACAAGTGTACTTGGCCAGTGATCCCACCTCACTTTTACATTCAGGTACAAGAGTACTGACCAGTGATCCCACCTCACTTTTCATTCAGGTACAAGTGTACTTGACCAGTGATCCCACCTCACTTTTACATTCAGGTACAAGTGTACTTGGCCAGTGATCCCACCTCACTTTTACATTCAGGTACAAGTGTACTTGACCAGTGATCCCCACCTCACTTTTACATTCAGGTACAAGTGTACTTGGCCAGTGATCCCACCTCACTTTTACATTCAGGTACAAGTGTACTTGGCCAGTGACCCACCTCACTTTTACATTCAGGTACAAGTGTACTTGACCAGTGATCCCACCTCACTTTTACATTCAGGTACAAGTGTACTTGGCCAGTGATCCCACCTCACTTTTACATTCAGGTACAAGTGTACTTGGCCAGTGATCCCACCTCACTTTTACATTCAGGTACAAGTGTACTTGGCCAGTGATCCCACCTCACTTTTACATTCAGGTACAAGTGTACTTGACCATTGATCCCACCTCACTTTTACATTCAGGGACAAGTGTACTTGGCCAGTGATCCCACCTCACTTTTACATTCAGGTACAAGTGTATTGGCCAGTGATCCCACCTCACTTTTACATTCAGGTACAAGTGTACTTGACCAGTGATCCCACCTCACTTTTACATTCAGGTACAAGTGTACTTGGCCAGTGATCCCACCTCACTTTTACATTCAGGTACAAGTGTACTTGGCCAGTGATCCCACCTCACTTTTACATTCAGGTACAAGTGTACTTGGCCAGTGATCCCACCTCACTTTTACATTCAGGTACAAGTGTACTTGACCAGTGATCCCACCTCACTTTTACATTCAGGTACAAATGTACTTGGCCAGTGATCCCACCTCACTTTTACATTCAGGTACAAGTGTACTTGGCCAGTGATCCCACCTCACTTTTACATTCAGGTACAAGTGTACTTGGCCAGTGATCCCACCTCACTTTTACATTCAGGTACAAGTGTACTTGACCAGTGATCCCACCTCACTTTTACATTCAGGTACAAGTGTACTTGGCCAGTGATCCCACCTCACTTTTACATTCAGGTACAAGTGTACTTGACCAGTGATCCCACCTCACTTTTACATTCAGGTACAAGTGTACTTGACCAGTGATCCACCTCACTTTTACATTCAGGTACAAGTGTACTTGGCCAGTGATCCACCTCACTTTTACATTCAGGTACAAGTGTACTTGACCAGTGATCCCACCTCACTTTTACATTCAGGTACAAGTGTACTTGGCCAGTGATCCCACCTCACTTTTACATTCAGGTACAAGTGTACTTGGCCAGTGATCCCACCTCACTTTTTTCATTCAGGTACAAGTGTACTTGACCAGTGATCCCACCTCACTTTTACATTCAGGTACAAGTGTACTTGGCCAGTGATCCCACCTCACTTTTACATTCAGGTACAAGTGTACTTGACCAGTGATCCCACCTCACTTTACATTCAGGTACAAGTGTACTTGACCCGTGATCCCACCTCACTTTTACATTCAGGTACAAGTGTACTTGGCCAGTGATCCCACCTCACTTTTACATTCAGGTACAAGTGTACTTGACCAGTGATCCCCACCTCACTTTTACATTCAGGTACAAGTGTACTTGACCAGTGATCCCACCTCACTTTTACATTCAGGTACAAGTGTACTTGACCAGTGATCCCACCTCACTTTTACATTCAGGTACAAGTGTACTTGACCAGTGATCCCACCTCACTTTTACATTCAGGTACAAGTGTACTTGGCCAGTGATCCCACCTCACTTTACATTCAGGTACAAGTGTACTTGGCCAGTGATCCCACCTCACTTTTACATTCAGGTACAAGTGTACTTGACCAGTGATCCCACCTCACTTTTACATTCAGGTACAAGTGTACTTGACCAGTGATCCCACCTCACTTTTACATTCAGGTACAAGTGTACTTGACCAGTGATACCATCTCATTTTCTTCCACTTTCTTTCTTATACATCAGGATGCATGTGTCTGGTCACGGTGTTTTTTTTTTTTTTAACCTTTGTACCTTGTTCAGCTATCAAAACTTTGGGGCCCAGTCCCTGGACCCATTATGTACCACTGTAATCTTTTGACTACCGCCCACAGGATGGGTATGGGTGCATAATAAACATATTAACTCACTCCACCCCTACTAAATTCTCCCTCCAATGCCCTTTTCTTTCCTCTACCTTATTTCTCTCATCTACCGACATACATAGACAGAAAAGACTAACGACACCAGCCTTCTGCTTCTTTGCCAAGACATCACCTTCAACTTCTTCAGCCACAAGGGCAGTTTCTTCAGACAATGTTTTGGCATAGTACTGTATTAGTCAACATATTTAAAGATTTAGATTAGATTTTGCCACGGAAGTGGCTAGTTTATTGTGCACCCCATACAGCATACGGC